ATATATATCATTGTATGTTTCCATACAATGACGAAATTGGTTCTCTGCATTATTATTATTATTTTTTTAATTTACCCTTTATTTATCCAGGTAGTCTCATTGAGACACGAGAACTCATTTTCAAGAGAGACCTGTTTAGGGAGCAGATGGGGGTTAAGGGCCTTGCTCATGGGCCCAGAGTGGGGCGAATGAGGGTGGGGGCGGGTGCCCCACCCACATTTTTGATGTTGTCGGTACCGGAGCTTGAACCGGCGATCTTCCGATCACAAGCCCACCTTCTCTAATCTCTGCGCCACCACTCCCCATTTAACCCATCGCACCTGGAATATGCCCAGGTGGAGCAGTGGGCAGCTACTGAGCACCTGGGGAGCAATTAGGGATTAAGTGTCTTGCTCAGAGTAGGGCTGAACGATTTTGGCAAATTTCTAATTGTGATTTTTTTTTTTTTACTTCAATATTGCAATTTAATATGCAATTATTTTTCTATGTCTTGGAGTAATGCCTTCGAACAGTTCGGTCAGTGATCTCTGTCGACTGCTACTTTGCTTGTTTAAGTTGAAGCACTGGTCGTTGGTATTCTAGCCATGCAACTATCGTAAATGGCTTTGTGGTGTTTTTTTAAAGTGTTGATAAAGATTTGTGGTGTTAACTTGACAGGTCGCAACAACAGCAAGGCACGTTCAAAATAATCCCGAACAACGGACGTGCTGCCTCTCTTTGGTACCAAACTTTCAGATGTGTCAGCTTCTGTCGAGCCTGACGCCATTGTGCAACCGGTTAACGTGCAGTGTTGACTTCCCCTGCTCCCTTCTCTGCTTTGCTCTGCTCACTCGCAAGTCACGTAACCAGATCACGTGACCAGTCAAATTGCAGCCTTTGCGATTAGACAGTCTTGTTTTATCATATCGCGATATTATCGCAAATGCAATTAATTGCTCAGCCTGAACTCAGAGACACCACGACATGTGGGAATGGCTGGAAGTCGAACTGCGACTTTCTGCTTCCAAAGCGGCTGCTGTTCCTCTACCCCATGTGCATGTGGATAGTATTTCAGTTTCCTCCAGCAAACCAAAAAAAAAAAAAAAAGCATGCTAGGCTAATTGGTAAATAATTTGTCTCTAGGAGTGAGTGAGAGCGTGAATGATTGTGTGTCTCTGTGCGGCCCTGTGATGGACTGGCAGGCAGTCCAGAGTGTCTCTGTCTCTTGCATGATGACTGCTGGAGACTTCCAGTGACCCTGCAGGGAAAAGGGCTTCAAGAAAATGGATAAATGGATGAATCAGTAATCAAGTCCACTGTAGTAGGCAGCCGAGGTTTTAATTGTAAGGACAATGAATGAGTATCAGTATGAGACCAATCATTTGCTAATTTTGTTTCTTACGTCATTATTTGTTTAACCGGTCTTTGTGGCATTGCAATGAGTGTCTTTAATTGCAAAGAGAACTGATGCGTGTCATGTAAACACACAGCAACAAATTGTGTTAAACAAAATACCAAGAAACGAGATAAAACCTTAAACAAGTCATGAGGAGAGGAGTCTGTATGCCTTAAATGTATCACAGATTCCCGTATAGTCTAGCCTGAACAGTATTAACTGTGTATAATTCAACGTGTTCCACATAAGAGTCTTAACAGAGATGTCCTGTGGGTTTTTATTGCAGCAGTGCACGGAGCTCGCCAAGAGGAAGTGATTGATCACCGTCTTACAGATCGAGAGTGGGCAGAAGAATGGAAACATCTTGATAATGTATGTATGAGCATGCTTACTGCCAACTGACTCTTTGTTTTATTAACAAGAAAGCAGTGGAGGAAAGGAACGAGGAGGTCAGCAGTTTAATAAAGTGAGCTTCAGAGCTGAAGATGGTGAGCAGATGACAGTAACAGGAACCGCTGACAGACAGAACAGCCTCTGTCCCAGCTGAGCTAGCAGTTGACGGACAGCTGTCCTTGGGAGGTCCGTGTATGTGCGGTGAATTAACAACTGACAGACACCTATCTGGATTCCCAGCACCCACCTCTGCGAACAGAAAATCGTGTGTGCTAAGCGCACACACAGACAGGAACGGGGCCCCAGATGGAGCTCAGGACCCAGCAGCGAGCAGCTCCAGCTGGGCAGAGCAGCTGAGACAAGAGCTGAAGCTGTGGAGAGAACCGGCCAGGCCTGGACTCCTGCCAAATTAGAAACACTTCACTGAAATAAATATGGCTGGCTCAGAGCGGAGGGAGGGTGAGAGACGGAGCAAAGGAGTAGGTGAAAGATGAATGGGAAGTATAATATGGATTGGATGTCAACTATGCTAAAGCCATTAAGCAGACCTCGCCGGTTTTGAAAAGACAGGGCACTGTGGGGGAAAGTAATAGTTTATAATGGGAAAAAAGAAGACAGGAAATCTGTTGAGTTGGCAGAGAATGGAGCAGAGGGCTGGAAGAAATCGACTCAACCTTTGCATCAACAGCCCAGCTGTTGCATTATTATTGTTGTGACGCCTTTAGATGGTGAAATTCACTGACAGGCACACAATCAGCTGACAGAGAGCATGCATGTTGTCTGCCAGCTACAGGAGATGGGATGTGTATAGGGAGGAATTGCATTAGCATGCTTAGTGGTTCCACACAGTTGAGAAAACTGTAATACCTTGGTTTTTGTTGTTTTGTTAGGATACTTTATATCGAAGATTGTTGTTTAATGTCTGTGTGTGTGTCATGTTAGCAAAGAATTTCATAAACCACTGGATGTATTTTAACAAAACCCTCAGAAAGGTACCACTGGATACAAATCCACAAGCTTTTTTTATTTGTTTTACTGTTAGTGATTTAAGATGATCAAGTTCAAGTAAGTTTTATTGTCATTCTCATCACATGTGGTACTGAATTGTGTACAGTACACAGGGTCCCAGTTACATCCAAAAATAGCAAAAATATAAAGTGTAAAAAGAAACAGTAAATAAGGATCTAAGATATAAACTAAGAAATAAGCGGGAGTGGAAGTAACTAATTACAAATACATTACTGTAATAAGTAGATTTTTGGGGACTTGTACTTTTATGAGTATTTCTTTCAAGTGTGTAATTTTACTCATACTTAAGTACAATTTAAACCATGTACTTTGCTACCTTAAAAATCAGAAGTCTCTACTGAGTACGGCCACAATTTGAATAAATATTCAAACCGTTCATCTGCATCTTTGTAGCCAACAAGGTTCTCAGGTCACGAACGTGCCCATTACCTATAACGTAAGCAAAGGACAACTCCGTAGAGAGTCATTTATGGACTGAAATTTTGGAGAAAATGCCCAAATGGAGACAAACAGAGAAAATGACGAGGTAAAGGCTGAGGATGAATGCCCGTGGCCACACCTGGAGGAATGTTTCATGTACAGAGGTCGAATAGGAGACAGAGTCCAGATGCAAACTTTGTTTGAGCTCTACGGTGACAGAAACTTACAAGACTTCAGCATCTAATCTCAAAAAACATATTGTGGTATACGAGGTTTTATAGCTACCTGTATGATATTGATGTTTTATTGTTTGTATGTGTGGGTTATTAGTTTGTCTAAGTATGCAAAGATCTTAGATACTGTCACTGCCATCGGTTTGACTGGTACTAAAATAAGACGGAGCTTCTGAGCGTCTTAGAAATGTTATATACAGTAAATCAAACTGAATGCTTCTATTGACAACACAATAAAACATCAATTGGTTAAAAAGTAATTAATACTCTGATTAGTTTTTAAGAAGAGCACTTTATACTTTTACTAAAGTATTTTTATAACAGTAATATTACTTGTAACTGAGTACAATTTAAGCTGTGCAACAGTACTTGTATTTGAGTACACATTTTCAGTACTCTTTCCACCTCTGGTGTCACGTTAGCAAAAAATTCCATAAACCACTGGATGTATTTTAACAAAACCCTCAGAAAGGTACCACTGGATACAGATCCACAAGCTTTATTTGGATGTATTTATTGACTTTTGAAGTGATTTAAGATGATGATGACCACGGCTACGCTATAACTCCGTCAGCTTTTTAAATAATGGGATGAAGGATGTTGCATTCTTTAAAAACAGAGCATAGTCAAACTTATTTTCTTGTTTACTTTAAGTAACCACTTTCTCGACTGTTTGCACACACAGCTCCTGAACTGCATCATGGACATGGTAGAGAAGACGCGGCGTTCTCTGACGGTGCTGCGACGCTGCCAGGAAGCCGACCGGGAGGAGATGAATCACTGGATTCGCCGCTACAGCGACGTAGAGGAGATGAAAAAAGGTGGGAGCAACGGACAGCACTGCCTTCCTCCTTCTACTACTACTCTTCCTCCTCCTACTCCTCACCACAACTCCTCCTCCAACACAGCTAGCAGCAGCAGCGAGTCACTCCCCATAGGAACTTCCTCGGCTGCTGAAAGGCAGACAGGCAGACAGACAGGTAGACAAACACACTCAGGGGTTATGTTTGGCAAAGCAAAACACTCACAGCAAGGTAGGGCTCATTTGAATAGCGGAAAATGCCTTAATGTGCCAATTTAGACACAAAAAAGTCAGTTAGGTGATCATATTTTTCTGCACATTTGAGCTCACACTGTGCAGCAATACAAACCCAGCTGCAGCATCTTGGGTTTTTAACCAGCTGATTGTGCTCTTATGTTGACAACTTCCTCATTCATTGCTTAAATTTGGATTCATTTCAAACTACTCATTACTTCTGTGAAAAGGTTATTGAGAAAAAAAAAAGTGCTGGCGGCTTATCAACCGGTGTTGCCTGATATAATCTGTATTAGCTCCAAAAATAGAAGTGGAAACTGGATGGATGTTTTATTATGAGGTTCTGTTTTTAATTTGTGTGTAACTCACTGTGTTCCTGGGTTTGTGTTGCAGAGATCCACAGAGACTTCCTGCATCGGCCTCCCTCAGGGTACCTGCCTGAAGAAATCTGGAGGAAAGCCGGTAAGAGCCGAACATCCTCCTCCTTATTGTCTTCACAGGACTGACCACACACAAACTAACAAAATGCACATCATCACTCTTCGTGGCCCTCACCCTGACCACAGAAACAGATGGACAAATCTGAGGCCTTACAGCTCAAGGTCCATCGGGCCAGAGGGTCGGAGGCCCTACGTGTCATTGGGGCTAAATGCTCTCCATTTGTCACAACTATGAAAGGCCACTGCAGTTAAAGCTGCAGTGAAAATGCAGTCACCGGGCCTACGGTGGGCCGCAGCAGCGCCACACGGGGTGGAGCTTAACTGGTCTTCTTTCACACTCCTTTTCTCAGGAAATAAGTTTCATACAACTCCAACTCCAAAAAAGTTGGGCTTTTGTATAACATGTACAGTAGAATTACGTTTCATCTGCAGTTTATAATATCTAAAAGATTTCAAGAATTTGGATAAATCTCTGTAATCAAAAAAAACAAGACTGAAAGCCAATATTGGGATGGTCATGATCTTCAGGTCCTCGGGCTGGACTGCGTTAAAACCAGGTCCGGTTCTGTTCTGGACATCACTGCATGCGCTCAGGAACACGTCCACAAATCATTGTCCGTTAACACAATTTGCCATGCCGTCCACAAATACTGTTTAAAGCTCTATCATGCTAATAAGAACATGAACACTATCCAGAAACACTGTCTGGGCCAAAGTTCGTTTAAAATGCACTGAGGCAAAGTGGAGAACTGATCTGTGGTCAGATGAATCAAAATTAGAAAATAGTTTTAGAAAACATATTCTGTATTAAAGAGGCTAGTGACCATTTGGCCTGTTTGTACACAGTTGAAACCCCTGCCTCTCTGATGGTATTGGGGTGCATTAGTGCCTCTGGTACGGGCAGCTTTACACACCTTGAAAGGCGCCATCACTGCAGAACTGGATATACAGATTTTAGTACAATAAATTCTCCTATCTGGCAAAAATAAATAAAGACAACATTTGCTTCCAAAAACAAAAACCGGTCTCCTCTGTTTCTAAAAGTTGTTGAAAGAACTGGAGATGCTTCACTGATAAACATGACCTTGTACCATCTTTTGTTTTTAAGTGTTGCTTCCATAAAATTCAAATTTACGTTTTTTCTTTCTTTTATTGAGACAATAAGGCGGCTGTGGTTAGAACTCCAATGCAAGAGTTGGGGGTTCGATTCCACCAGCAGTCACATGTTCAAGTGTCTCTGGGCAAGACACTGAACCCCTCATTGCCTCCGGTGTGTGTCCCATCGGTGTATGAATGTGATAAAGCTCTGATTATTCTCCTCCTTAGATAGAGAACTTTACTAATTGGCTTTTATGTATGTGAATGTTCGTGTAAAGTGCCCTGAGACAACTTTGTTGTGATTTGGCGCTTTATAAATAAACAGAATTGAATTCTTTGTATAGATACAGTAGAGTGCTGTATGAATGGGTAAATGAGGACACAGATCGTGCTGTAAAGAGCTTTGAGTGTCTTGATAAGATAGAAAAGCAATATATAAGTGCAGTCCATTTACAATTTCTTAGTCCCAACATTAGATATTTTTTACTATATTCCATTGTGAGGGAGACTGGAGTAGCTCCGAGGTCAGTGTCGCAGCCTTGTAGTCCTGAGGTTGCGGGTTCGAACCCAGACTGAGTTAGGAAGGGTGTCCAGTGTAAAACAAAACCTAATGTCTGGATTTATGAGCTTTTTTAACCATTGCTTTCACTTTTTATTTACATTTTACCCAACATCCCAACTTTTTTAGAACAGGTTTGTTCTTTAATTCATGACTGATGCAAGTCAAAAACAAAAACAACACTTGTTATGTAGACGAAGGGAAGCAGTAGGGAGTGCTGCATCGCATGGACCTTCCAGCGTACTGTGCAGTACACAGAGCCCATCCCAGGAGCCGTCTGGCCCAGCCCTGGTTCCACCTCAGTCCCAGCACTATTATGTTGCACTCATACTCCAATACCCTGCGGAGGAAAGATGCTGCTGCTGTCGGCAAAATACTGTGCTGCATTTTCACCAGCAGAAAAGGCTCTTTTAATTGCAGTTGTTTTTCATACAGGTACCACAAGCATCCCGCTCTCCCCAGCACTAAAGCACCTCCAAAACAAGCAGGGTGAGTAACATATCTCACTCCCAAGATCTCACCTTTAGTGTTTGTGTGCATATAAAAATACATGTGTATGTGTTTGTAGTCACCTCTATCTCAGCAGCCAGGTCTCCTAAAGCTGCACGCACCTCCTTTAATTAAAAGCAGACACGTATTCTCCAGTCTGGTTCTGGTTGAGAACTAAGATCTGAAGTGCGAAAAAGCAGACAGAAATAACCCATCTCAGGGACTCGCCAAATCTCTGTGGAATTAAAACGTTAATATTGCTGCCCCCGTGTTTTCCATTAAGTGCTAATTGCCCCAGCATCTGCTATGCAGTCTCCTAGATAAGAATTAATTAAATTTGCAAACTAATCTTAGTGGTGCATGCATTAGGCCAGATAATTGAGAAGCTTGGAATAATGCATGTTGTGTTTGCAGAGGAGAGAAGCAAAAGAAACGGGGTGTTGGTGGGGGTATAAGAGAGAAAGAAGGAGCCGAAATGATGCATAAAGGTAGAGAGGGGATGACAGGATGACGGGAAGTCTTGAGAACTTTGGTTACAGGATTTACAAAATATCATTTTTTTATCATCAAGCAGAGACATGGAACAGAAGTCTCCTCCATTGCCTTTTCTGCCACAGTTTGAAACAAGCGAGTGGAGCGGCGAGAAAAAGTGACAAGTATTTATGAGGTTCTTCTCAGGCAAACACGGGGAGGAGGAAATGGGAAGTGAGCAGTATCAGCCTCGCCTCCTTGGTTGGTCTAACACACCTGGCAGTCCTTCAGAGCATTAGTTGCGTCTTTACGCGTCTCTGTTTACTCTGCACATCTGGAGGAAGAACAAGCGATATCATTTATATTTTTATGAAACGTTGCTGTCTGTTTGAAGAAAATTAGGAATCCATATTCGGGGGGGGGGAGCACAACACGCCACATATGCATTTGATCAACGATTCGTGTATATTTAGCAATCCTTTTTTTCCACCGGTGAATAAAAACCTTTGAGGGATGACATGCTGTGGATTCCTACCATTCACTTTGTGCCAGAGATGAAAGATGGCAACATGTGTCAAACTGAGATGGAAATTTGTTTTAGTCTGCCTCCTGCGAAGAAGTTTGCACACTTACCTCTTGAAAAATTAAAACCTCTTCACGCGTGCAGTTTTTTTTATATTAAAAGAACAAAAAGAGCCTGAGACAAAGTCTCCACTGGAGGAAGTCCTGCAGTGGAGCTATTAGAGCAATCTGCTGGAAATTCATTCTGCCAAACTGTTAATTTATCAAGAGATCAAAATAGAGAACCTGAAAGTATTTGATGTACCTCCAAGTTGGCAGTGGTGGGATGTAACTACTAAGTACAAGTACTTTGGTACTGTACTTAAGTACATTTTTCATGTATCTGTACTTTACTGAAGTAGAGTTAAACGTGGGTACTTTCGACTTTTACTCCACTACATTTCACATTAATTATATGTACTTTCTACTAGACTACATTTCTATAATGTGTTACGTTACATTCACGTTGTGTTTTTTTAATTTGTTCGTTAGTTTGAAAGTAACCAATGGTGAGAGGGGAGTTTGTCCATTGAGTCACTGCAAAGTGGACAGGTAACGTTAGGCCCGCCTTCAAGGAGAGCTGGACCAATGACGTATATTCTAGAATAAACGTCATTGAGCTGGTGCACCCACAGCACCGCTAACACACCCAAAATAGATTCCACTGTGGAGAGTCAGCCAGAAGATACACACCACCCATGGCCTTATTGAAAGATTATTGAAAGACTATTGAAAGACTATTGAAAGACTGTTCAGTACAGCAGGACAGATTCTCTCTCCCAAAAGAGCCAGACTGGACTCAAAAAACTTTGAAAACCAAATTCTTCTGAACTTGAACAAGAAATTCTTGCTGCAATATTAAAATGTGTCAGTTCATGGATGTTAGGAGACAAGAGATGTCTCCAAATGTCTCGACACTCGGGTCCAAGTTTTGAAAATGTTGTCAGGAAGTTAAAATATTGTTTACTATTGACCCATTACAAGGTTGAATAGACAGAATTTTAACTAGAGTTGATGACAAACTGGAGTTGAAATGGTCAGAGTTTATTCCTTTGTCAGGTCTAATGCCAACTTTTTCAGGCAGACAACTTTTACTTAAATGTTTTTACTGCAGTTAAAATGACACATTTGTTTTGCTTTGTGTTAAATAAAAACTTTCAAAGGTATAATCATTCCTCGTTCTTATTTTGCTTAATGTCATTTAACTCTGCAGGTCACCCCTGAAATTCTGACACAGAATCACAAGTCCAAGTGTGAACTGTGTCACAGAGTAAAAACATGTATTATCTGCAGCATTTTTCATTAAAATGACTCAACACTATTAATGTATTACAGAAAATATACATACGGTAGGCACATCTAATGATATTGTAGACCATTGCATTAGATCAGTGGTTCCCAACCCTGGTCCTTGAGGAACACCATCCTGCATTTTTTAGTTGTTTCCCTGCTCCAACACCTGGTTCAGTGATTTAATTACTTTCACGTGTTCTGCAGAAGCCTGTTAATCACCCACTCATTAAAATCAGGTGTGTCGGAGCAGAGAACCAAATAAAACATGCAGGATGGTGCTCCACAAGGACCAGAGTTGGGAACCCCTGCATTAGAATCAGAATCAGAATCAGTTTATTATCGCCATGTCAATGAACGAGGTTCACAAACTAGGAATTTGCTTCGACATAAGGTGCGAATAGTAATAAAGTAAAATAAAGTAAAAATTAAGTAAAAATTAAGTAAAAATGAGAACATTACATAAGACATGAGCCTGTGTACACCCACAAATAAAGTAAAATTAAAAACATAACATAACCATATGTACACCCATACATACATATTAGATAATACATTCAGCAGGTACTTTTACTTTTAATACTTTAAGTATTTCTAAAAGCAATTACTTATTTACTTTTACTTAAGTAAGAACGTTAATGTGGTACTTCTACTTTTACTAGAGTACATTTGTGTCTGTTTGCACTTTTACTTACGTACAGTGTTTGAGTACTTTCTCCACCACTTCAAGTTGGCAACGTTTTCTTTTGTTAGCAAAGGAAAAAAGGTAATCGTTGAACTTTTCTGTCAGACTGTTTTAAATCTTGAAAGTAGCACAGATGTTTGCAGAGCTGCAACAAGATGGAAGCTTAATGATCTTTTATAAAGGATGACGGAGCAGCCATAAGCACTAACGCCACCCCCCACCTTTCTCTGTGTTTCTCAGAGGAGGCGGTGAATGAAGTGAAGCGGCAGGCCATGTCAGAGCTGCAAAAGGCTGTGTCAGACGCCGAGAGGAAGGCTCATGAGATGATCTCTGCAGAACGGTCCAAAATGGAGAGGGCGCTGGCCGAGGCCAAGAGACAAGCTTCTGAGGACGCGCTCACGGTCATCAACCAGCAGGAAGACTCCAGTGAAGTGAGCATCACAGGAACCTTTGAGTTAGCCCTGAGCTTAATGCTTCACTCACCAGAAACATTTTATTTTTTTATCTTTTAGCCTCCACTTCATTCCCTACACCTAACAGCCTCTATCCCATTTAATTAAATAACTGTTAATTTTGATAATTTTATGTTTTATTTAAATATGTTTAGCCTTGATATGATATACAATAAATAAATAAAAGCCTAGCATTCCTTGAAGAAATGCATCTCACCACCTTTCATTGTAGAATGCTGGACTCAGATAATCTGATGCTGAGAAATGACACAGTTGGTCAAACTTTGAAAATATTATTTGAGATCTCAAGCAATAACTTGAGATTCCATGCTCAGAGTTTGTGTTGTGAACGAGTTTCAGCTTCTACCACATCAAATTTTAGCTCAATGTTTGTAAAACTGACTGAATTATAACCATTGTTGTGTTGACTAAAGGATAAGTAGCTGTTGCAGTCATCTTGAATCAGGTTGACTTTAAAAGTTATTTGGTTGTAGATGTACATACCTTATCAAAGTTTATTCAAATCTGTCCAGTGGTTCCTGAGGTATTTTGCTAACAAACAGGGTTGACTCAGACAGTTAATGCTTAAGTTTTAAGCAATTAAGTTACTCAAAGAGTAACACTTGGACTTTGGGTTGTGAATACCTCTCAGTTACTATAACCACAGTATATTTAGCAAAATATCTGTAAAACTGACAGAAATATATCCACTTTTTTTGCATTTTCTAAAGTGCATTAGCTGTGGCAGACCTCATGAATAAAACGTTAATCAGTTGTAGATATTGTTTAACTAAAGTCTGGTTTATGACCGCTGGGACAGACAAACAAAAAGAGTATTGCTTTCACCTTTAGACTGGGATACTGGGAGACCTGTTTGAACCGACTGAGATGGAAAAACCACATTTTTCCAAATTGCAGTTTGAATCTAAATAATTCAATTCAGTTTATTTATATAGCGTCAAATCACCACAAAGTTGTCTCAGGGCACTTTACAGAAACATTCACATACATAAAAAAATTAGTAAAGTAATAATGAAAATATAAAACTGTGTACCGTATTTTCCACCCTATAAGTCGCATCAGTCTAAATATGCTTAATAAAGTGGAGAAATACATAAATACAGTATGTCGCTTTGCCATATAAGTCACATCTATTATGTGTCACCGTTGACAACCCGGAAATGTGGGCCGGTGTTGTGCCAAAAATCGATTAGCTGCCAAATGGCAGCTGCGGAGCGTGCACAGGAGGACTTTAACAAGAATTTTTAACAAGATTAACACTTAAAAACAATTATTTGTTTGCTCGAAATTATAGTAAAAGTGAGTCTTAGTCTAACTTTTTCTTAATAAATCAGCTGAATTTCAAAAGCCAATTTGTGGAAGTAGGTGCGTGCATGAGAGGACTCACTGTGCATTTTTGCAAAATTGAACAAATAACCACCTAAAAACAATTATTTGTTTGCTCGACATAGTAAGGGTGAGTCTCAGTTGAACTTTTACTTAATAAATGCACTTCAATGGTCAAATCAGCTGCATTTCACCGGGGCGGCGCAGCGAAATGAAGCTGATTTGACGGTTGCTCCAGGCGAGCTGGACAATGGTGGCAGGTTATGGGAAGCTGGTTGTGTCATTAATAGCCACTTTTACCTATTGCATAACACAACGGCATGCCATACTCCTCGAGTGCCATTTAGCAGCTGAAAATGGTAGTGTTCAATATTTTCAGTCAGAATGAATGAAAACGGTCACATCTCAGCCAAAAATTGGTTTATGGAAAAAACATCCATAAATAAGCTGCTTCAGGGTATAAGTTTCAGGGCATGCAAATTATGCAAAAAAAGTAACTTATAGGCTGAAAAATATGGTATGTTGAAACTGCTTGTAGTACAGGCCTCAGTTGTTTGTGGGAAATTAAAGCAGACAAATCCAGATGGCTGGAGCAAAGTTCCCGGCTCAGACGGTTACAGAGCAGATGACCACCACCTGCTGGTAATACAAATCTGTTACCTTGCGCCAAAAATCCCCATGTCGAGTGTAACTAAAAACAGAAAATTAGGCACATAAACTATGACCTTATTCAAATATTAAAATTGTGTTTAAATGACCAAGAAAACGTCTGTTTATAATCAATCTGCTCTGTCTCTACTGTTCCACCAGAGCTGCTGGAACTGTGGGAGGAAAGCCAGTGAGACGTGCAGCGGCTGCAACACCGCTCGATACTGTGGCTCCTTCTGCCAACACAAAGACTGGGAGAAGCACCACCACGTCTGCGGTCAGGGCCTGCAGGGGCTGCCAGGGGGCAGCAGCGTCCCTCTAGGCACCCCCTCCTCCTCCTCCAGCTCCTCAGCGTCCTCCAGTGCACCCCCGACCCACTCTGAGAGCTCTCCTCCAGGACCCCTGTCCCTAGTGGGCCAGAGCAGTATGGCAGGGGGTGCTGGCAGCGGAAGCATCTCTGCCAGCCCCAAAGAGAGCAGTTCCAGCAGTGCCTCTCGCTCCACAACTCCAGCAACCCCCGCCCTACTGGACGCCACCTCTCGCTGACACCCGCTCCTTGTTGTGCACGTTGAAACGACAGCGGCCACCCTCCACACAAAACCAAACTGAGGAATCTCCATTGCACAGTGCTCCCTTTCCTCCTACTCCCCCAAACTTTTTGAAAAACAATTTGCTAATCGACAGACTGGTTTTCTCACTTTCTTCCTGTCCAACTTTTTCTGCCTCTTTTCCAAAAAAAGATCAGCCACAGACACAAAGATTCCAGCCAGGGGTTCATTGTAGCGTTAAGCGTATTACAGTGTCTGTCATCTCGTCATAGAAACATATCAAATGTGTTCACTGAGCTTTGACTTGAAGATGTGCCCTCAGTTATATAAGCACGGTAAATGGCGTCCACATAAGGACACAGGAAATGGGCTGTGAAAAGACAGCACGGATGAGGGATGACTAGGCCAATTAGCACTTGGATAGGATTTCCCTTTAATTTAGCACTAATGGAAGAACAGCAAGCAGCCCAGAGCTGAGTGCTAACAGTCCAAACAGCTCGCCGTGGCCCTTCTAGTCTCTAATGAAGACAGAGTAAAGAGCATAACCTTTTTTTAATGGATGAAGGAAGGAGTAACGCCTTGATGTGATTAATTCCTCAGAAACACAACTTAGTATTTATTAAAGGTTTCTTTCTGGCTTTAAGGGAAAACAAAGACAAGTCCAAATATCCTAAATAAAGAATAATAGTAATGCTGAGAAAAATGAATTAGTTTTAAACTGCTAACTACCTTGCTAGCGAGCCAAGAAAATCTTACACCGGACTCACCTCTCTGCAACCCAAATAAATTCAAAGATGATAAAAAAAAAAAAATTACCTGATCCAAACCTTTGTATGACACTGCCAAAGTGAAAAACGTGAGCGATAAAGAGAAGCACTCATCTTATAACCAAACGCAAAGCAACAACACCTCCTCAGCAGAAACGCCAGCCCTGAGAGGATCGGGCCCGGAGGAGCTGCAGAACACGAGCCAGAGTCCAACGTTTAAATAAAATTAAAAAACAGACAAACCTGCGACTTGCTTTGATCTGTAGCTGCCTCCTGCAGCCGGACATTCAAACAACATGAATGCGAATACGGCGACTCCTCAGCGACGGCCCAGACTAGTGAATATGAACAACGCTGTGAATTCGCCTACAAGAAAGGACCTCACGAAACTGATGGAAACCTTGCCACAGTGTGGCTCTTCTGTGAACGCAAGAGGCCAAAAGCCTCAAAGGAGACAAAGATACATTTAAAGGCAACAGAACTGCCCAAAAACAAAGATAAAAAAACTCAACATAAGCTTGAAAACATTTAAGGTGTTGCGTATGGGAAGATTGTTTGTAAGCTGTTTTTTTAAAGCTAAAAAACGAGGAGATATTTCAAGGAAACGCTCTTTTACATTCACTCCCTCCTTTTCCCAAAGCATGAATTGAACGAGTAACGAGGGAGGGGGGTGTACACGTCGTTCTCCTCTCTTTCTACCTCCCTTCATCCCACACCTCCTTTCTACACACTTCACAATGACTTGACTCAAGTCCGCCTCGAACCCGAGCTTGCTTTGGACACAGCCACAAAGCAGACACACGGGGAGGGTTGAACCTGCTTGTAGATATTGTTCCTCCTCTCATTTTTCCATTAATGTCCTTTATTGCCGACGCCACATGTGCTGCCCTCGTGTAGATCCAAAAAAAAAGGATTCTGTTTTTTTATTACCTTTTGTTTTCATCTAAGTTTGGGATGAGCAGTGAAAACTGAACAAGGATTGCTTGTTTGGAAAAGGAAGCCCCCACCACACACGTTGTACTTATTGTTTGAATTGATGTATCTATAGCGACGAGATGACCCCCCCCACCCCCACCCCGTAGAATATTTTGTATTGCTCACATTGTAAGACAGTGAGAGGACGGAGGTGCAATATGAAGAGAATTCAGCTACTGAATGGAACCTCAGCAACTGCCCGTAGGGTGTCATATAATATAGATACATATAGATATATTTAAAGTAACATCAGTAACTTAATGTGAATGTACATAGTATTTAAAAAGGTCCAAAAATGTAATTGCCAAATAACAAAAACCTTTAAAGATCAGAATTTTCTCACAGTGCATTTGTTTCCCAAAAGTCTTCACCCGTTCAAACACGTTAAACGCTTCTTCTTCTTCTTCTTCTTTTTATTTCTTTATTTTATTGTATTTATTTTCAAAAACAAAGTCTCCCGCCTACAGAAAAGGACTAAACAAAAGATGATATGTTTTCCCGTTATTTTTTCAGCTCCAGAAACGCTGTAGTGATCCTTTCGCTTGCTCTGAAAATAAATCAACAACGGTCGACAACTCCGTGTTTGGAGGAAAGAGCTGTTTGCTAGAAATCTGATACTTTTGATGTATTAGAAAATATTTTTGCTCCGATTTGTTGAGTACAGATAAAGAACTGTGTTCACATTACATTTCATGATTGCATAAATATATCAGAATAAATCTGGATAACGTTTTTTTACCCTTGATTTCATAGTTTGAAATGGGTCCCGGTACCTTTAATTGAAATTGGCAGCACGATATATTGAAAGGAAATTATGTGTTAAAGTGACTGTTCAGATCTTTAGAAGTGAGGTTATAATAACATGCTATGATGAGTTAGTATCTTATCTGTTGCAGACAGAGTTTAATTATGATCAAACTGACGAGCTAATGGCTAGTCCGAGCAAGGCGACAACCAAAATGAATTGTTGCTGCTTTCAAACAACTTCACTATCATTTATTCGTGCTTTATTCAAACATCATTTTTATAAACCTTTATATCATTGTCATGTTAATTACATACAATTATGGGGTTACCTCTACAGTGGCAGTTCTAGAACATGGCACAGAGGGGAAGCTGCTACTGCTGCCACCCTTTATAGTTTAGTTAATATATTTTTGAACATTTTGCCCAATTTTAAAAGTCAAGGACATCTCCACAGAACATTGTTCTCCATCCTCTAAGTAAGTTAAGTGTTGTTTCTTCTAGCTTGTTTAATTCAATGTCCTAGACTGTTAACCTCCGTCTAAAGGTCAAACTTTTCCTGCAGCAAAAGATTTTACCCTCCCCTGGTGGAGCCCCATGCACGCCACCTTTGCCAACTTATAGATCCGTCACTGTACTTGTGATGCAGCCTGGTCACAACTGTCAGAAATGTCATATTTCTACAGAAACAACTTTGTAATAAGACACTGATGCAATGTCAAAGTTTAAGATATTTGCAGGAGCAATTATGACATTTTTTTATGATTAAGTTATTTTAACTTGACAGAGGTTCACTTAAAAACACATTGCTCAGACGAGCCAATAAATTGTGAATTTGTTCAGAAATGAACTATAGTAGTCCCTCGCTACTTTGCAGTTCGTTTACTGCAGACTCGCTCTATCTTGGTTTTTCAAAATAAGACTGGACATGACACACTGATTGATGGATGAGCCGCATGATCGGCACGGATTTTTATTTCAAATAAATTATTTTAAATTATTTAGCACCTCCTGCACCCTTGTGCTGCCCTTACTGCAACATAAACTTCCTGCTGCAGCTGAGCAGCTGATCAGCTAGCTGCTCACCATGCCAAGCAGAGAAGTGGGCGTGGCCAAGCGCACTTGCAGGTGGCAAAGAGCGGAGGAGGCAGGGAGTTAAAATCATGACATTCTGTGTTCTTTTAGAGCGTTTAGAGTTTAGAAACATTGTTTAGAATATTGCAAGTGTGGGAAATGTTTAAAATGTCATATATATATATATATATATATATATATATATATATATATAATACTATTTACTACTTGTACTACTATTCCTACTTTGCGATTTTTCACTTATGGTGGGTCTTCGGGGTATGGATCCCCGCGATAAACGAGGGACTACTGTACTTCTTCAGCAAGTAAGATACTGATTGTTCACCCGTAACCACTTCAGAAGATCTGAACTAACCTTTCAAGCTGTTATTAAAGATCACTACAAGATTCTAAGTTTAAAGTTAAACTTTTTGTCTGATTAATATTACCGGTAGTTGTGTTTTTTTATTTTTTTATTTATTTATAAGAATGTAATTTGGTTGCAGATGTTCAGGACAGGAGAGCAGCATCACCTGTTTTTTAAGCCTTTCTCATAAACCCTGTTCATAACTTAGGGTAATAGTTATTACATCGATCCATGTAAAACCTTTCATGGCTGGCCTCATTTACATTTGGACCAAACCTGGAGGGAAATAAAAGACACTTGTTCCTTTTTCATCTGAAACAGGCACATTTTGTGGCCTATTTGGACTAACTGAGACCTGAAATTCAAAAAGGAGATAAGTTGCCACCCCCCAGCCCCCACGTCTGTGTAGCATTTATGTGTTATAATTACTGTTATAGCATTGACCTCAGTCCTCTTTGTGTAACATGCCTCGTTTCCCCCAAATGTCTAATTCTTCCTCACCACAAAACACTCCTCTACCCCCCTTCCTTCCTCTCTTCTCTTCATGACACAAGCTACCTCTTGTGAGCATACAGCTAACCACCAGGAGAGGCTGACCTGGACTTTAAAGAGCTGGGCTGAGAGCAGACACTGACTGCCACTCATCGCTCTGAATGGAACTGTCATTACGGACAAACACGCTTGGATTTAGACGCCGTTAAGTCTCGCTTATCACCAAACCAAACACAGAACCAACCACTATGTGTTGTATGTTGTAAAAGCACAAACCAAAGTACTCAGAATTCTCTGTTGTATGGCTGTGACATTTATTAACAACGATTAGAGCTCAACTACACATTACCAAAGTAGGGCTGCATGATATTAGTAACTTGCAACATGCAATATTGTTTATTTATGTGATAAACTCACCTTTTCCTCACTTTCTCTTCTGTCATATGATTAAAGCAGGTGTGGACATCACGGCCAGTGAGAGCGTTGCAGTGACCAAATATATTCTTAGCATGAAGAAAAAGAATGCATGGTGCTTGAACTATAATGGATTTATTGCAGTCCTTAGACTATATTAGATATGACTAGGCCAGTCATGATAAACAATAAATCTATTAATCACATGATAAATGAACATTATCAACCTCATTTTCATTTATCGGCTTTATTGTTTCTTCATGTCTCTCTTTCTACTGAAGACACTGGATGACAAAAGGCTCAACTCCGGTGCTCTTCACTGACCCTTCCCTTTCTCTTTAAAATCTAATTTAATCGTCCAAAATCGCGTTTTTGGATCGTTAAAAGCAGCTAAGCTGAGAAGCTAAGCTACGAGCTAAGCTAACAGGTCAACTCGGGGAAAAAACCTCTGTCTTGTTAAAGCTCCAAAATTCACGGTTGAAACCCGTGCCTTCGTCTAAAAAGTTGTTTATCTCTGCAAAAAGAAGCTGAGAACTTGTCTACTGTTTTGTTTTTTATTAAAAGCTTTGTGTGACAAATGCTATGCTAAAGAGCTCAAACCACACAGAGTGTCCGCCATTTTGAGAACTGAAAAACAGGAAGGAGAGACAGCCCACGTCACGCCAAAGGGCCTCGCTTCTATTTTTCATAAAAAGACACGCTGCTCGCTCCCTCACTATCCATCCTTCAGTTCAAACAGTCTTATACTGCCATCCAGTGTTCAAAAAAGGTACTACACACAACATTTATTCTTAAATTTGACAATTACTAATTATTGTCAAATTTCAAACGATATTATCGTTTATCGCAATAATTTCTGAGACAATTAATCGCCCAGCAAAATTTGTTATCGTGACAGGCCTAGATATGATATTGCGCTGATGATACATTTCCGATACATTGTGCAGCCCTGTACCAAAGCATCTGAAACACACACTCAGCACAGAGGAATGAAGAGACCGGTTGCATTTCAGACAATTATCACTCAAGAAATCAAAGCACTGGTTGACTACATGCTGAGTAGCGCTGCTCTTTAAACAGAAGCATCTCTTTTGAAAGATCCTGCAAACTGTGTGTTTGCACAAAGCCTTGCAGAGATGAAAATGAATGTGTGCGTGTGTGTGTGCTGGTTTGTGTGTTCTAGTTAAAGAAACTTTTTTTTTTTTAATGTCTCTGTGCAAATTACTTGAAATCTTCAGAGCTTTAATGAAACATCCCAGACGAACGATAGTGGCACGTTGATTTAAAAAACAAGGCAGCGTTTTGTGTTTTTCTTCTTCTTCTTCTTAACGTCCGCATCAAAACAGCGTTGTGATGACAGTTCCATTCAGCTCCGAGTGTTTTGCGTGAACCTCCTTGTCTGCGAGTGAGCCCCTCGGATAAATTAGATCAAGCCAAACCCAGCAGAACATTTAAAGATGACCAAAATACAACAAAAAGCTGCAACTTTCGTTTTTGGATTTCACTTTGGTTGAAGGTGTTGCCGTGTGTTCCTGCAGTGGAAATCTTCTCCGGTACTGTGACGGAGATGAGGCTGAAATATTAGAAGCTGTAGAAACAAACAACAAAGAAGTTTGTTTGCAGTCTGTGCTGTGGTGTCATTATTATTATTATTTTTTTATTCTCCAAGATATTATACATGGCAAATACACCAGGGCTCTGCTATTGTGATTACCATCCAAGGGTCTCCTAAATTTTGTTTAACCATGAAGCTGATGTGGGCAAATCATGCCGAGAGAGGACAGATATAAGCAGGTTGACATTTTACTCTCTCTGTGCCGACCTGCAGCTCTGCAGTGAAGCTTCAGAACTCCTCTGATGTGACGATCACACATCCTTCCTGTGAAACAGGCTCCGATAACCAGAAAACTAAAGTGGCAAACGGTGGACACAGCACTTGTTTCCCAAATAAATAAAACAAATAAATAAAGCCATGGCTCAGGATGGTCTTGTTTAAACCTTATAAACTGAATAAAGGGGTTTATACGTGTAGGGAAGCATTCTAAACTGTATTGTGCAATACATTATTACAGAAAAATATGTTACTGTAGGAACAGTTTCGAGATCTTTCCCGCGTCGTTTCATGCCCCTCCCCCGGCAGTCCCGTCGCCATTTTTAGATGAAGTTACTGTGCCAGAGGAATTAAATTCTGAGTTGTATTTATTTCTTGCATGCTTTCCTCCCTGTTGCTATACTGCTTTTTAACTACTCGCTCTGTTGGATGTGTGAAGCTGTAAAACATTCTAATTCAGGTTATTGTCTGTGTTGAACAATGTAACTGTGTAATTAAAACATGAAATGACATATTCATCGCTTCCGTTGTTCGTTTTTACTTCTTTAAATGATGGGTATTCTAAAAAAACAAGTGGGGGGGGGGGGGTGACACATTATATTATATCATTACACTTTCAGTTTTATGACACCAACGACTCTAAATACATCAAAAATATATGCAGCTATTAAATAAATTATAG